GGTAGCAGGGAATCAGGCGTAACCCTGGAAACACTAGTATTAACGGTGTTTTGTGGCCACTTTGAAGCGTACATAGCTTGAAACCATCCCAATATACAGGGTTTTGTGGCAGGAAGGTGCAGAAGCCCGTGTAAGTACCGTCGCTTTGTGCCACTTTGAGGCCTCCTCTAAGCACCGCAAAAGCCCTTTCCGCCACAAAAAAGACTGCAAATAGCGTCGTTTGAGGCCACTCTTGAAGATAGTAGGAGCTGAAAACACATGAAAACACTGACATTTACGGTGGTTTGTGGCCACTTTGAAGCGTACACAGCCCAAAACCATCGCAATTTACAGGGCTTTGTGCCGGGAAGGCGCACAAACCCGTGCAAATACCGTCGTTTTGTGCCATTTAGAAGCCTCCAAACGCCGAAAAAGCCCTTTCCGACAAAATCTTTCCAGGTTTTTGGCAATTTTTCGACCATTTTTGAAGCCTAAACACTTCAAAAACAATCGGATGTTTTTGGCCGGACAGCCACAGAAAACACTGTAAATTGCATGGTTTGAGGCCACTCTTGCAGACTGGAGGAGCTGAAAACACTAGTATTTACAGTGTTTTGTAGCTGTTGACAAAGACCCGCGCCAGGGTGGAGTTGAAAGGGGGGAGGGCCCCCCCCCCCCTCGGCCCTTAAAATGTCGGAGGCGATTTCTCAGTGAGATGGGTGTCCACTCTGGTTATAATTCATTTTTGCTAAAGCAAAAGGAAAACTCAGGTAGCGTAACCGCCACCTTTCGTGATATGTTTTTCTTTAATACAGTAAGTCTAATTGGTCTTGATGCACGCCTCACAGTGGCTTCATGATCATTCATGACCTGATCTTCTCAAAGCAACAACCCAGCTCAGTTCAAAGAATAAACATCTTGGAACTCAAACGCCGCTCAGTTGGATGACTTTTTCTGACAAAAGAAGGAGACTTCTCCACCTTGAGTGATCAATCTACTCTCCCTGCAACTCATGGAAGTGGAGTGAGTTCACCTCATGTTTCTATACGAGGAACATACGGTCCTCCAAACTCGGGGCCATCCCGAGCATGTTTCCTTCCAGGCCACGTTTTCACCCCAAAAACCCTCACCTTTCCACAACCACCGGGAGAAATCATGTCTGGACCCTGTCTTCGTCTGGGAACACCGGTCGCCTAGGTCTGTCTTCGTCCGCTCCCTCTTCGTTCCGCGCCACCTCCGTAGCATCCAGTTCATAACCTCGTGAAGGCGGGTTATAGATGGGATAGACCGCTAGCCTTCCGTCGGACCGGTGGAAGCGGTTGTAAGCCAAAAAAACGGTTTTCTTCTTTTTTTTTGTTAAAGAAAACCACACATATGATAATGAATGGCGATTGGAAGCCTACAAGCTTCCTTCAACAACATGGGTATACCAACAACCAAGGTCAACAACCAATACCGGTCGACCGTTTTCAAAGCTTCCGAAAAGGGCCCCCCCGAAGGCGGCCGGCGGCCGGCGTGGTGCGGAGGTGGTGCGGGCGCCGGTGTGGTGCGGTCGCCTCAGAAACCGAAAAGACTCACCGATGAGAGGAACAAACAAACACCATTTGGATGGAAAACACCATTAATCTTCAATGTTTGAAGAATTTGAATGTTTTGAAGATTAATGGTTATATAGGCTCAAAACCTATGGTGTAACAGAAAAGGTACCCAACAAATCATGGACCCTCAGCCCCGAAGGTTTGGTTCGAGTCCAAAGCCATGCGCATAGCAGGGTCAAACCTTTCCAGTTCGCCAGCAAGATCCAATGATGCTTAGGATCTCTGATGTTTTTGTCCGTCTCCACACCTCTTCAACACCTCTCCACCACATTACCAAGCATTACCAGAAGCAAGCAATACACATTCCCGGTGAAAACCTCCCATCCTCCAACCACACCCCCCTCTTGTCATCGAACCCACCGAGCCGAGGCTCTTCACACCCCGCGCAAAACACGCCGTCCATGCGCGGACGGCGTCCCCGTGTTCCCAAGCGCCCCCGACTGTCCGTCTCCACGATCGCGGTCAAGAGCCGATCCTGTGCGGGGGCTTCAATACACGGAACCTCTGCCTGTTAGATCCTGCAAGGTGCTCGGATCCTGAAGGGTTCTAACATGCAAAACACCCAACAGAGGTGGGTCAGAACCATCCGGCCCATAGACCTTATGTTGCTTGGGGCTCTCTATATCCAACAGAGGTGGGTCAGAACCCTAGCTAATGTACCACAGATCAGGGTCCGAACGTTCAGGTCTTTCAACCGTTGGACCTTGCAAGGGGTGATTCGACGGATTCCAAGATTGCTTGTCCTAGGCTCAGGTGAAGGCAAAGCCCTCCAAGGCAAAAAAGACAGGTGTCCAATCACCCTCTCAAAGGATAATGGAACCTTTCGATTCCCAAGCGGCTCATGGGACCACCAAATAACAAATAACTTATAAATATGCCCTATATTCACTACCAATTATCCCGGCAAAGACCCGACACAGTGTGTGAAGGTCTGAGGTCTAGAGGTGTAGAAGGTCTGAAGGTCTATAGAGATCTAGACGTACTGGGTTCCAGAGAGAGGTGATGGTGGTAATGATAATGACGATGATGGTGATGATGGTGGTGACGGTGGCGGTGATCATAGTGGTGATGGTGGTGCTGATGCTGATGGTGTTGGTGATGGTGATGGTGGTAATGGTGGTTAAAAGTAGGTAAGCTGATGACGGTGGGTAATCAATATTGGGTAACAAAACCCTGGAACCAAAACGCTGATACGACAAGGTCCTCATGAGCCACCATGGGAATTGTTCTCCACAATGCCTCTGATGAACCTCTGATTAAGATGATGAAGATGATGACTATGAGGCACCTTGGCTTGAAAGGGGGAAAGGGGTGAAGGAAGCAAGGGTATGGGGTGATGGGCTTCGCATTTTCTGGGGTGGTTGGTGATGGTGGTGTTGGTGATGGTGGTGATGCGGTTGATCCAGACCACCCGACCGACCCCCTTCCAGCCCGCCCCGCGTCGCCTTCATCACGCTCTTCAGCTCCGACATCAAGGCGCGCGTCGCCTTCCCCTCACGGCGACGCGCCGTTGTGGTTTCACTCGCAGCATCCGACAGAGGAGGGGGACCCACGAGGTAGTTTCTTCCGGTGAAGGTTTAAGATGGATGGGTCTCGGGTCCCAAGCCCCCCTGTAACACGTCTAGGGTTCCATGGGACTGCCATAGGATTGCCGCCCCAGACAGGCCCCCCCTGGCACCACCCCAACTGATTGGCATATGTGGCAGTCCCATTAGTCGCGTCTGGGCCACTGGGATACGATGAGGGGAGGTGTGAAACACCGAGGGCTGGTGGATTGTTTGTCGCCAGTGGCGAGCGTTGTTTGGTGTGGCGCTGTGGGGATCAAAGATGACCTTGGACCAGACGAAACGGTCGTTCCTCAGGAAAATGGAAACATGACCCGAACCAAAAACAGGTACAAGATGGTACAAGACTACCCATGTTCGGAGGAATGAGCTGAGACCCTATCAACCAGTGCACTTGGATGCAAAGCACTTGATGGATACTACCGTTTTCTGGGCGAACCTCAGCCGATCTGAGGGTCAACTCATGTGGGCAGTAGCCCAATGGACCCAAACACCTAGTGTAGACGGTTGGTTTCTCTAACATATCTATCCCAAATGCTCCATGTATGCCATATATATATATATATCCATATATATATATGCATATATATATATATGCCATATGCCTACATTGGTGTGGTTTGGGGGTTCAATGTAGGCATATATTCCAGTCCCATGGAGTGTATGGGATTGGGGGGAGGAGACCGGGAAGGAGTACTGGGGAGGAGTTATTCATCTAACATTCTAGGCACGGCTTCGCTCGAAGTCCTCTCTCCGATCGAAGTCGCTCAGTGCGATTTGCGGAGCTTTTCACTCAGGCAGACCTACCACGAAAAGAAGCTTCGGAAAACAGCAGCAGTCTACCCTGCCAGGGACGATTCTCCCTCAAATACACATCTGGGGATATCTATATCCTGTTTCGATACAGTGGATGATGGGGTATATCATCCTGACTGTTTCCCGTGATTTTGCTTGTTTCACGTTCCTGCTACAGGCTTCCGTCACGGGTCCGCCGCCCAGTCCGCTCCCGGCCGAGGCGCCCGAGGGTGCCGAGCTCGGCGACGACCGGAAGGGATCTCTGTGGTGTTTCACAGCAACACAGGTTGAATGACCCGAACTAGCCTATACCATAAGTACCCCAGTGGGGTCCTATTTACGGTCACTGGCTACCTCTCTTGGCAGCTCGTGAAAGAGAAGGTCGCGCAAGAAGAAGGAACCAGCAGTCACAGAGCTCGGGGGTGGTATTTTAGTCCCGAAGTGAGTGGATGTGACGACGGGGCACCCCGACTAGCTCCATGGAGTCCGCAGCTGGAAGGTGGACCTGGTTCATTCTGTTTCTTCTTCCTGTAGAGTGTCACACATCATTAAAAGCAGCCTCAGGTTGCTTGGGAATGTTGGGAACCTTCCCATTCAATCAACGGAGGGGCCGGGAATCCGCCAGTTTGGGTGAACATGAACATCCGTCTCCAGGACCACATGTGCCGGACGGTGCCCGGCGCCGCGAGTGATGAACCTCTGGAGGGTCAACGTCGCTCCCTCCATTCCTTCTCGTATACCATTCCCCAGACTAATGGGACTGCCATAGGACTGCCAATCAGTTGGGGCGTCTGTCTGGGGCGGCATCTATTTCATATTATTCCAGTCCCATGTGTCATGTATGGGTTCTTGTTGGTCTCCAAACAGGACAGTCCGACAGCAAGCGACTCCACTAGAATTGGACATCACCACCACCCGAGACCCTCCGAGGCCCATTCCTCTGATGGTTGAACATCTTGTCCATGCACCCGTTCACCCAAATCCCTTAAGACCCTCATCATTTGCGTTCCTCTCTTTGGGGGG